GGAAAAACCTCAAGGTAAGGATGGGGACAGGTAGGGGACTGGTGGGTGAATGGAGTATCATGATTTGTCTCACTGATCCTCCCCTCCCATCCCCAGATGATGATCATCTTGGGAGTGATTTGCGCCATCATCCTCATTATCATCATAGGTGAGTAGGATGGGAATGGCCGGGGCCCTTTTCCTGGAGAGGTTCCCCAAGTGGATTCTGGGTTTTAAAGGTCATTAACCTAGTTTTACTCTTCAGCCAAAAACACACATAGCTGCTAATGGCAATTCTGATTCATCTAGAGCCAAAAACTTTGATGTTATTTAGCTTGCAGTTTGCCTGGTTCTGGACAGTTTTGTTAACATTTGGTAAAAGGAAAGCTGATGTATCCATTAAGGACCCTTTAGACCTACGAGCCCAGTCCAAGAACCCTGGAACTGATGAGTAGGAGAAAGGAAAGGCCCAGGGGCTTGAGACATGACCAGGAAGCCAACCACCCCATGATTTTAAAGCTTGTGGTCTCAGAGGCTCAGAGAATTAGCATCTGTGGCCTCACGGCCATACCATGGAGTGGAAGGGACCTCAGAACCTACCTGTCTAGCCCCTTGCTTTGTAGATGAAGAAGCTGAGGCCAAGAGAGGGGAAGGGGTGTCAACCAGCTGGGGAGTGGGGAGGATGGGAGCAGGGCCAGGCCTGACACATTGCTTTCTTTCTCTTTCTCTCTCTCTCCCTCCCCCACCTCCCTCTTCCTTATCTTCTTCCTCTCTCTCCACAGTTTACTTCAGCACTTAAATCCCTGAGGAGTCTGCCCTGCCTAGAGAAGGGCCTCTCCCCCCACCCTCAGCCGTTCCTCCACCTCTCAGCCATATCTTTCACTCCCCCTCCCCTGGATCCGTGTGTGTGTGTCTTTGTGTGTGTCCCCCTGTAAATAGCCAGCTGTTATTTATACATATATAATATTATATATATTTGGTCTGTTTGTAGTTTTATTACTAGAAGATTTTTCCAGTTGTCCTTAACACCCCTTCCTGAGGTTCCCTTCACCTCCTCTCTCTTGCCTTCCTTTCCTTTCCCTTTCTTCCTGACTAGCCCCAAGTCCCTTAATTTGCATCTGCTATGCAATAGTCCCTCTCCTCTCCTCCTCCTTCCCTCGGATTTAGCTGATCCTTCCTCCCACCCTGGCCTTCCCTTCCTCCTCCCTCTCCCCTTCTTCCTGCTCCCCCTGCTCCGCCCTCAAAAAAAAAAAAAAAAAAAAAACAAAAACGAAAAGCACCTGTCCGGGCTTCCTTAGGTGCATCTTCTTTGCATCCATTAGGAGGCTCTGAGACTGGCCCCACTTGGTCCTAAGAATCCCAAGGTCTTTGGGAGCGTCCAGCATGTTAATTAGCGTATCATTGCATACTGCAGTCTCTTTCCATTTCTTTTTGTTCCATCACTCTTCTCTTAACCTGTGTTTCTTTTTTTTACTAAGGAGTTAGTCCCCATTAGTACTTGTATTACATTTTCATTTGCACGACATTACTTGCAGGTGGTGGGAGCCTGGGCTTTTGGGGAATCAGGCCGCTCTGGCCCCCAGCATTGCCTCCTTCTAGCCCTCTAGTCCAGTTTGCCTCCCTTACCCTCATTTTCCAAACCTCTTGTACCCCCCTCTCCCTCCTCCAGCTGGTATGTAAGTGTCTTGGAGTTCAGTATGTTATGATGGACCAATAATTCTGCCACTTGGGGTCTCTCCCCACATTCCTGCTCCCCAGTTTTCATGTGGGGCACTCAACTGACATTCCCATGGGGTTTCCCTCCCTCCCATCTGCTTGATCCACCTCCTCCTCCCAGCAGGAGAGTTGGGGGTTGGCCACAATTGATATCTTGGGAGGGGTGGCTACCAGTGTGTGGGAGGTCATCACTGCCTTGGGGAGGAGTGGGGCAGGGCAGAGAATCCCCCCAATTCCTGCCTGAAATCTCTGGCCTCACCCCTGCTGGGGGTTGGACTGAAAACCCTCCTCCCCAATTTGGGGGGTGTTGCCCCCGTCACTGCCCAGCTCCTCTGACTGCCCCTGCCCTGAATTTAGGGTGGGGGTACTAGTCACTGCCAATGTGTGTATGGGACTTGCTGGAAAACGAGGATCCTTGCCCCTCTCCAGGGCTATTGAACCCAGAGAGAGCTGTCCTCTCATTGGGTGAAGTGATAGAGGAAGGGTCTATTGTCTTTTTAAATGGCACAATTTTAAGGGTCTGAGGGTACAGTCCCTTAACCTGCCACGGGAAGGGGGCCCCCAAACTTTCTTCCCCACACACTCGAGATTTTTTGTGTGGAGGGGGAGCAGGGATATCTAAGCTGTGGTGTGAAAGGGTAGGAGAGATGCTGGGGGTGGGGGTGCTGTGTTCTAGACCCCCCATATTATCCCAGTGTCCCCTGCCCCCCCTTCCCCCACCCCATTCCCCCAATTCTGTGGCGCATCCAGATTGTGAAAATGTACAATAAATGTGTAATGAGTAACCAGGTGTTGTCTGTTCTAAGATCTTTATGGTTTTCTCTATCTTTTTTGTGGGGGGAGAATAACATCTTTTCTTAACCAATGGTAAGAATATTGGATCCGAAGGTATGCCAGGAAGGTGGAGAAGATGCATTGGTAAAGGACTGGACTTTGCAAGAGGCCCTGACCTTGGGCAGGGCAAAGTGTGATTCCCAAAGTGGTCACAGGGGGGCACTAGGCGTTGGTAATGGGAAGTGTCATAGCCAACTCCTGTGTCTCTAAGCCTGGTGAGCCCTCCGGTTTGGGGTTCCCAGCTTTCCTTTCCCTTTCCTGGGGGCAGGTTTCTACTGTTGGACTCCTTTATACTCCTGGATTTAACTCCCAAGATGCGCTACAGTTGCTCCCTTGCGGCAGTAGATAGTAGTTGGCCACTTCTGTGAAGCATTTCTTCCCCTCTGTGCCTAACCCAGTGCCAGCGCCCCGACGGGGTTACTAAATACTGGTTTAAGTAATTGGCTCGCAGAGACATAGCTGATGTCGTGGAGCTGCCTGTAGATAATCTATTACCCCTCTACTCTGTTTTATGACTGTGACTTTAGACCCCACATTGAACTTAGCATCCCTGTCCCCAGGAGCTTCAACAGTGAGTGGCCAGGTGCGGTGGCTCACGCCTGTAATCCCAGCACTATTAGGTGAGCAGATCACGAGGTCAGGAGTTCAAGACCAGCCTGGCCAACATAGTGAAAGCCCATCTCTTACTAAAAATACAAAAGTTAGCCGGGAATGGTGGTGCACGCCTGCAGTCCCAGCCACTCAGGAGGCTGCGGCAGGTGAATTACCTGAACCTGGGCGGTGGAGGTTGCAGTGAGCTGAGATCATGACACTGCACTCCAGCCTGGGTAACAGAGCAAGACTCTTAAATAAATAATAAAATTTTTTCAGGCCCCTCCCCTGGAGATTCTGATGCAGAGGTTCTTAGGGTCCGGGTGATTCTTATGTACACTATCATTACCAGAACGTCCAACTTGATAGAAGTCTTACTATATTCCAGGCAGTGCTCAGGATTTCGCACTTCCAACTCAAATCCCTTCCAGATTTAAGAGTTCCCATGGACCCTAGGACCCGCCTGCTTTACGGTGTCGGGGACTTGGGTTCAAGTTTTAGCCCCGTTACTGACCAGCGTGTTACAGGCGAACAGATTATGTAACGCCCCTGGATCTCAGTCTCATTTGTGAGGCAGGGGGAGTACGTGAGCGGCCTCCTCAGAGTTTGTGAGAAGCGCCTGGCCTGGCCCGCAGAGAACAATCAGGAAGAGGCTCTCATCTTCATCGTCATCAATATGCCGTGCTGAGATCTGAAGACCGCTTCACCTTAATGCTCGCACCTTCGAGCTTCGGAGGGACTCAGGGCCGTAGGCGTCCTTGTCACGCCCGTGTCTCTCTACGAAGTGGGCCTTATGCGAGGCCACCGCTCACATCTGCGCCTGCGTGCAGGTCACGCTCGCTGCGCCTGCGCAGATTTAGAAGCCGTGGGTAAGTGTCTCGTCAAGGAAAATCCCCAGCTTCTGGGTAAACAAGTTGCCGCGTGAGACCGCCGGCACGTGTACCCTACAGCTCCAAGACCTCTTAGCCTATAAGAAAGCTTGGAGAGCGGGACTGGTATTTACGTCACCAATCTTGGCAGGTCGGGGTTATTGCCTCAAGCCAATAAAAATCTCGGACGTTCATAGGGCGTGGCTTCCGGTCAGGCTTCCAATCGCCGCGTCGGGGCGGTCCCTCTCGCACGTGTATCTCCCCCCCTCCCCGACGGTTGGCCTGTTAGCCAATGAGAAAACGATGGCGGCCTGAGGCACCAATAGAGGCTGTGCGGGGGCCGGCAGCTGCACGCGGCGCGGGGCATGGGTCGGCGCCCCTAAGCCAATAAGCTTGGGGGGCGTGGCAGCCCAGCTGCTGGGAGGGTCTGGAGGAGCCCCGTGAAGTGCTAGAAGTCCTAGAAGAAATTTGGGGTCTGCGTGCGTACCGAGCGGTGAGAGCCCGGGGATGGGGAGAGATGGGGGCGGTCGATGTGGGCTTTTCCGGGGTGGTGTGGTCGGTCGGGAAGGATGTTAAATAGAGTGTGTGGGGGGGATCACGCGAATGCGTGGTAGCCTCGGTCGAAGCTCTGATGGTTGTGGAGAATAGGGACCACGAACTCCGGTCTAGACAGACGGGGTGGGAGTTAGTGACATCAGATCCCTCGCACCTCTAGAGTCCCTGGACTCTTGACTGCCCAGGGGGAAGGACTCGGAAACCCTCAGCGACCTGAGGGAGCTCCCTCTCAGGTCGGGACTGAAGGAGCCCCTGCTCCTGGGGAGGTACGGAACGGGACCCTTGAGAGTTGGGGGAAGATGTTTCAGTGGCTGCTGTTTGGGTGGTCGCCTTAAACTCTTGAAAAAGGTAGAGGTTCCGAGGCTGGAGGGAGGCCCTGGTAGGGGAAGTAGGAGGGTACCAAAGGGCTGACATGCTGATTTGAGAAAGGATGGTGTGATAATTTGTGAGACCCAGAGCCAGTCACATTATGGCTCCGGGTGTCTTTCTCATGTTAAACGGAAGGGTTTAGGCCTCAAAGTCATCCTTAAGAATAGACGTGGGGTAGCAACTGTTGAGTCCTGAGAGGAACGATAGGGTTGGGGTTTGTGCATATTGGCTGTGCAAGTTTTTCTGAGTCCCTGGAGGTGGGGATGCACCAACTGAGTGCTCTGGTATCTGTCTGTACAAACGACCAGGCCAGGCGTGTGGTAAAGTGGCCTGAGGTAAGGTGGAAAAGAGAGGAAGTGGGCTTCATAGGAAATCATGGGGACTGACGGCTGCTAGGGTGATCTGAAGCACTTTGTGAGCCTGGGAAAACGGGCTCTGATGTTAAGTGTGTGGGGAGTGCAAACAGTGTCTTGAGATCAGGCCCAAGGCAGAGAAAGGGGTTGGATGGAGTCTGTGTTCCCGGCACCCAGCCTAGAATTGGATGGATATTTGAGAGGCCAGGTTTGCCAGTGCTGGAATGCAGCTTACAGGTTGGTTAACACCTCACACGTTCCTGAAGGGTAAGATACCAGAATGCCAAGCCATTATTAGAGTTCAGACTGCAACGCTGGGCTTCATTTGTTAAGAGCTTGAGACCATGTTATGAGGCACTGGACAAATTTAGCTACTTCTGTGCCTTAGTTATCCCCCGTGGAATGGGGATAATAATACCTATCTCACAGGGTTGTTGTGGGGATGAAATAATGGAAAGTGCTTAGCATAACGCCTGGGTCATGGTGAGAGTTATGTGAATGCTGTGGCTGGGAACTATTCTCACATTCTCAAGTTGTTCTGCAAGTTTTGATGGAGCCCCATTTCTCTTCCTAGTTCTTCTCGTCTTCAGACAGCAGTCCAAATTCCCTCATTCCTCCCTTCTGGCCCTCTCCCAGGATCCAGGCCTCAGGCCCCAGGCTGGGCCACTTGCTCTGTTCCAGTTTGATTTTCTCATCCTAGGCTCATTCTCCTCCCTTTCCCTCCTCCCTCTCTCCCGGCTGCCATAATAACAAGAGATTCAGACTCTGAAGGGGGCCTCTGGAAGGGAGCAAAGGTGCGTGTTTTCTCCCAGAGTCTGGGTCTCCAACTTCTCCGCCCTGGATCTTTGGTACCATGCCAGCAGATGTGTACAGTTTGGGAGAGAGGAAAAGCCAGAGCTGCAGGAACAAGCTGAAGGGTGGGTAGGCGGGAGTCCTGAAAAGAGCCAGGCTTGGGACGGGAGGCGGTGTGTGGGGAGGGGGCCCCCTTCCTCCTAATCCTCTCTCCAGGAATCTCTGGCTTTGGGACAGGACGGCTGTCGTTCGGTTGGGGGAGGCGCCCAGGCTGGGTGCATGTCCTGGGCCACCAGCCAAGAGAACATGATGTTCCCAAGTGCGCTGGCCGCCGCCCTCTCGGGCTGGCCGCCTCCCAAAACCGCTGCCTCTCCAGTCTCTCCAGCCTCCCTGCCCCACATTCCCCGGCAGCCTCGCCCCGCCCCCTTCTTCCGCTTTGACGTCACCGCTGTCTCCCGCCCCCTCGCCTCCGTTGACGGCAGCAGGGCCTGGTTACTGTGGGGACGGACAAGCAGGACAACAAGGGCTTTGGGAGCAAGCAGCGGCCGCTGGAGGGCTGGATCCTTTTGTCTATGCAAAAGACAGGCAGATGGAGGCGGGAGAGCAAGGACTGCCTGGGTCAGGGGAGATCATACCTAAATCCCTGGGGGGGCCGAAAAAACATGTTTCCAGGGAAGAGGTGTCTGCAGATGAGACAAGGACAAGACCACAGTATGAGCTGGGGTGGGGAGGATCATTTTCAGGGAGAGGAGACTGAGAATCCGGGTTCCTGAATCTTTTTTGTTTTCCTGTTTCGATTTTTCTGGGTTAATTTATAACACACTCTTGTCCCAGCTTTTCTACAGAGCCTTCCCCTTCACCCTCCCCTCATTGTTCATGAAAGCTTAGGCCACGTGACAGTGAGGGGAGTGCCCCCACAATGATTATGTCAGCAGCTGCTTGGAGGTCTGTTCATCTACTACCCACGTTTCCAGGGAGCCCTGCGAGGAACTACTCATCACGATCCTGGATGGAGGGGCTGTGTAACTGCAGCTCTCCTGGGCCCAGACTAGCATTTTAGGTGGCGACAAATCGTGTCCCTGTTCTCTTTCTAGGACTGCTCTCTCCTCTCTTTAACATAGAATTCCCAGTGCTTTTTCTCCTGTTGATGCTCTTTCCCCACCTCCCCAACCTATCCTTGTTTTTTTTTTTTTTTTGAGACGGAGTTTCACTCATGTTACCCAGGCTGGAGTGCAATGTCTCAATCTTGGCTCACCACAACCTCCGCCTCCTGGGTTCAGGCAATTCTCCTGACTCAGCCTCCTGAGTAGCTGGGATTACAGGCACGCACCACCATGCCCAGCTAATGTTTTGTATTTTTAGTAGAGACGGGGTTTCACCATGTTGACCAGGACGGTCTCGATCTCTTGACGTCGTGATCCACCCGCCTCGGCCTCCCAAAGTGCTGGGATTACAGGCTTGAGCCACCGCGCCCGGCCTCAACCTATCCTTGTTTAAAAAAAATAATAATGTTTATTGATCACTTGCCGTGTGTCAGGTCCTGTCCTGGGCTCTGGAGAGTACAGTGAATGAGACAAATGACGTTTCTGCTCGCCCCTGGAGCTTGGCTTTCTCTTTTCCAAGCAGTGGGAATATGAAGCCCTTGCCATCCCACCTTTCTCTGTCTAGGGCCCCAGTTGGCCTCTTCTCTGTGCCATCCCTTTTGTCCCTCTGTAGTCCTGGCTTCCTGGCCCCCATTTTTGGAGCAGCCCTAACTGTGGGTGGCCGCGTCCTCTGGAGGGAAATACTAGACACCACGTAGGCTGCCGGGAGACCTTTTCTCTGAGTGGCCATAGAAGCACCTGCCATTGTTTCCCTTCACAGCCACTATTGGCTCTGGCCGCCCCTTCCATTGTCTGCATTCTTCCTCCACCCACACTCACCCACCAATCACACGTGGACCCTTAATTGTCCTTTCCCAGGATTTGAAGTATCAGGGGAAGTGCTTCAGTTAAAGGGCTTCATTATGTAGAATGAAGGTTGGGAGGGAACACCGGTTGGGACAGGAACCCAGGAAAGGCCAAGCCAGGTTTCTGTCTCTTCCCCTCCTCTCAAGGACCAGCCATCTCATCCAGCGTGGCTAACTCCCAGGGCCATTCGTTTTCCGCACCCCTGGAAAGGCGAAGATGCCAAGATGTTGTGTTCTGCAAGGCTAGTGCGTTCAGGAAGTAGACACGTCTTGAGCACCTACACTGGCCCGGGCGTTTTCCCTAAAGAGGGGCAGCGAACCTCCCCTCCCCTCCCTTCCATTATTCACTATGCAAGCGTCCTGCGCCCATTGGCTGGGCGGTGTCTGGGGCTCTTCAGCCCAGCACCAGCACCCAGGTCCACGTGCGCCCGTGTGTGTGACACAGCCCTGACCTTAGTGGAGACCACTAGCCAATCAGGCGCCGGGAAGAGATCCCCAGCCAATCGGGGGCGGGGCTTGTGGCTTAGCAGGCAAGAGGCCAATGAGGGGGCCGTGCCCGGCATTATGCAACCCGCCTCCCCGCCCAGCGCAGCTTCCACTCGGCTGCGGGCTGGAGCGGCGGCGGGCAGGCAGGCGGAGGACACTCCTACGACCAGGTAGGCATCTCCGCGGCCATCCTGGGGCCGTTCTTTCCTGAGCCGGACTGCTGCCACTTCCAATCTGATGGGCTACTTTGGGCCCAGGCAGTCAGAGGGCACACCGTCGTCCTTAACCGCCGCCTACCCTCTCCCTGCCCCTGGGGACCGAAGTGCTCCTCAAAATCCTGCACAGGGAGTCCGAACTCTGGACTCGCTCACCTTACCTCCAGCTTTGTCCCCCTCTCCCCGTTCCAGCCCTCCCGGCCCCACAGCCGACTCTCAGCGGGCGTGTTCGTTACTAGAGAGGCCCCGGGTTTGCCCCAGCACCAGGACCCCATTAGGCTTTCGGCGCTCCTCGCTTCTCTGCTCTCTAGACCCTGGCTCTGCGCCGCCTGTGATGTCAGCCCGCTAAGGACTGGAACATCCCGTTCCCAGCGCTAGTTCCTGCTGTTGGCCACAACCTTCCCTTTTCTCCTGGCGCTCAGAAAATGCTCACTAGTGGGGGAGTGGTTGGATTGGGAGTAGGGAAAGAACTATCTGTTGGCTGTTGTGCGTCTTCTGCCCAAGGTTTGGGGTGAGGATCTGGCTAGAAAAGTAGGGGACTGAGGAGAGAGGATCCTCGGGTCCTTGACGATGGCAGGTTGCTGGCTTCGGTCCTCGTGGTCGGGAAGCTGGGCAGGGGCTAAAAAAGGAAAGGCTGTGATGTCTTGACCAGAATGACTGGACTCCAGGAGAGTCAAGTTGAGGGGCTTTTGCGCCGAGGGCGGTGGCCGATGTGTTTCCGTCGTCCTGGAGAAGCCAGGACCAACCCTGGAATCCTAATAGACCGTCCCACCTTGTATGGCCCCGAGCCATCCTGGGACTGGGAATAGGTAAGGGATGGTGACCCCCGGCCGCGCCCACCAGTGTGAGAGCGGGTCGTTCCCCCACTTCCGCCGGGAAATGGGGGAGGGGTCGTTCCTCCTGCCCTCCAGTGGTCCCTTCAGCAACCGCTGAGCTCAGCAGCTGACGTCGGTTTCCCTGGCGACCGTGGCGGCGGCGGAAGCGTGTGGTGGGGCCCCGCACGTCGGTGCGCATGTGCAGCGGGGGTGGCACCGCCCCCAGATAAAATTAGCCTGGAGGCCTAAATATAGGAGGCGAGCAGCTCACCCCTGCTCCAAGGCCTTGGAGGCCCAGGCAGAGTGGAGGCCTAATGGGAACTTGGGAATGGAAAGTGTCCAGATTTTTGCCCACAGCCGTAGCTCTCATTGACTGCTCAGGTCAGGGTAGCAGGGATGTGAAGGAAGGCCCCGGGAAACCCTTTCCCACTTGCAGCCCCCTTAAGGGTACAGGAAACAACTTGACTCCCCATTGGAAGCCCCAGGCCTGAGTCCCACTCCCATCAGTCCTTCATGAGACCAGGCCGGGAAGGTCTGAGTGAAGCCAGCAGGTGCTGTGGAGTTAACAAACCAGCTTTCTGCAAGCCCTGCTTCCTGATCTCCCTCTCCAGGTGCTGGCTGTGATCGAACTTCTCAATCCTCAGAGACTTAGATCTTCCACCTCGCTCCCGCAGCCAGGCCTCCAGGCCCCCTCCTGCATCCGTGGTGGCCTCTCCGCCTTCCCTGTTCTATTCTCCCCATGGCCTAGACATGAGTGGCCCCCTGGAAGGGGCAGATGGGGGAGGGGACCCCAGGCCTGGAGAATCCTTTTGTCCTGGAGGAGTCCCATCCCCTGGGCCTCCACAGCACCGCCCTTGCCCAGGCCCCAGCCTGGCCGATGACACCGATGCCAACAGCAATGGTTCAAGCGGCAATGAGTCCAATGGGCATGAGTCCAGGGGTGCGTCTCAACGGAGCTCACACAGCTCCTCCTCAGGCAACGGCAAGGACTCAGCCCTGCTGGAGACCACTGAAAGCAGCAAGAGGTGTGTATGGATGTGTATGTTGGGTCTAGGAGTGGTCTTGCGAGCAGGCAGCCCTAGGTGACAGGCCTCACGCTGCTGGCCCTGCCTGTAACTGCCTGTTGCTGTCTCCTAGCACAAACTCTCAGAGCCCATCCCCACCCAGCAGTTCCATCGCCTATAGCCTCCTCAGTGCCAGCTCAGAGCAGGACAACCCATCCACCAGTGGCTGCAGGTACATGGAGTGAGGCCGGAGAAGAGGTCGGGGGGCCCAGGCCACACTCTGGGGCTAATGTCTTTATTTTCTTCTTCCCTGTGGGTCCTGCAGCAGTGAACAGTCAGCCCGGGCGAGGACCCAGAAAGAACTCATGACAGCACTTCGAGAGCTCAAGCTTCGACTCCCGCCAGAGCGCCGGGGCAAGGGCCGCTCTGGGACCCTGGCCACGCTGCAGTACGCGCTGGCCTGTGTGAAGCAGGTGCAGGGTAAGTGGTGCGGCCCAGGAAGGGATGGCCAGGGCCTGGGCTCTTGTGCTGAGGCAGTCTCCTTCCTGAATCTCGCACTGCTTCCACCTGCAGCCAACCAGGAATACTACCAGCAGTGGAGCCTGGAGGAGGGCGAGCCTTGCTCCATGGACATGTCCACCTACACGCTGGAGGAGCTGGAGCACATCACATCTGAGTACACACTTCGTAACCAGGTCAGCGGCAGCCTGGCCTCCCCATCCCCATGCACCCTTGTCCCTTCTCCCACAGCTCTGGCATCTGCTCTTGCTCTCCCCCTCCTGCCAGGATACCTTCTCAGTGGCTGTCTCCTTCCTGACGGGCCGAATTGTGTACATTTCGGAGCAGGCAGCCATCCTGCTGCGTTGCAAGCGAGACGTGTTCCTGGGTACCCGCTTCGCTGAACTCCTGGCTCCCCAGGATGTGGGAGTTTTTTATGGTTCCACTGCTCCATCTCGCCTGCCAACCTGGGGCACTGGGGCCTCTGCAGGTGAGGTGCCCAAGCACTTGCGGGGAGGTATGAGCAGTCCCTGGAAGTTCCTGCTGTGAGGGGCCAGGGGACCCAAACTTTCCCTTAGTGGGTTCTTCACAGCCTAAAGAAGGGGCAGGGGGCTGTCCTTACTGCTCTCTTGTCTGTCCCAGGTTCAGGCCTCAGGGACTTCACCCAGGAGAAGTCTGTTTTCTGCCGTATTAGGTAGGTGAGGGAAGCGGGAGCAGACCTCTGCCTCCTCCTAACCCCTCCCCTGTGCCTTTGCTGTATATGCTGGGATCTGGTGGTTGGAGGAGTGGGTGACTATCTATTGAAAGTCCCTAATGCTCTTCTCTCCCTTGCTAGGGGAGGTCCTGACCGGGACCCAGGGCCTCGGTACCAGCCATTCCGCCTTACCCCATATGTGACCAAGATCCGGGTCTCAGATGGGGTGCCTGCACAGCCGTGCTGCCTGCTCATTGCAGAACGCATCCACTCGGGTTATGAAGGTGGGCAGGTCAGGGGCCTGGTCTGGTGGGGGTTGGGAGGAAGGACATTTCCTCCTGGCCAGACATGAACGTGGGAGGCATGAGCCTGACCCTTTGAACTTTGGAACAAGAAAAGCTATTGTAAGGACAAGGGTTTGTGTTCCTTTTGGAGGGAGAGTTGAATACGATCCCTGAGCTACAGGAGGGCAGAGAAGAATGCCTTGCTTGCTGTCCGTTGTATTTCTTGCATGGGGCACAGGAATAGCCCAGACCATCTTTGGGCCCATAGTGCCCAGGGCGGAGCTGTGTGGCAGATCGTCAGCCAGCCTGGGCCCGGGCAGAGTGGAGGGCTGAGGAGTTGGGCCATTCTGAGCGAAACCCGGTGACCACACTCTCCACTCTCTGTGCCTCAGCTCCCCGGATACCTCCTGACAAGAGGATTTTCACTACGAGGCACACACCCAGTTGCCTCTTCCAGGATGTGGATGAAAGGTGAGGGTAGGGCCTGGAGGAGAGGAGGGCGCCAGGGCTGAGGCCATGGCCACTCTGATACACCCTTGGCTTCCAGGGCTGCCCCACTGCTGGGCTACCTGCCCCAGGACCTCCTGGGGGCCCCCGTGCTCCTGTTCCTGCATCCTGAGGACCGACCCCTCATGCTGGCTATCCACAAGAAGAGTGAGTTCCTCTAACCCTGTCGCCCTTCCCACTGTCCCAGGCTTTTGAACAGTTCCTCTTGTGGTTGTGTTTCTTGGTGCCTTGGTCTCCTGGATCTCCAGTGGTATGGCCTCCCCTTGCTCAGCTCTCCCTCCCTTTGACCCCTCCTCCTTTCCCACTCCATCAGTCCTGCAGTTGGCGGGCCAGCCCTTTGACCACTCCCCTATCCGCTTCTGTGCCCGCAACGGGGAGTATGTCACCATGGACACTAGCTGGGCTGGTTTTGTGCACCCCTGGAGCCGCAAGGTAGCCTTCGTGTTGGGCCGCCACAAAGTCCGCACGTAAGTGGGCCATCCCCTGAGCTGGCGTTGGGGACAGGGCAGTGCAGTGGGGGGCAGGACTGGGCCAGGGCTGGACTTACTCTTCCCCACCCTCCAGGGCTCCCCTCAATGAGGACGTGTTTACTCCCCCGGCCCCCAGCCCAGTTCCGCCCCTGGACACTGATATCCAGGAGCTGTCAGAGCAGATCCACCGGCTGCTGCTGCAGGTGAGAGTATTCGAGAGGGAGCTTGGGAGGTGAGGAAGGGGGCAGGAAGCAGCGTGGAGCCGTCTGACCTGCCCTCTCCCCGCTGCAGCCCGTGCACAGCCCCAGCCCCACAGGACTCTCTGGAGTTGGCCCCGTGACATCCCCAGGCCCTCTCCACAGCCCTGGCTCTTCCAGTGATAGCAACGGGGGTGATGCAGAGGGACCTGGGCCTCCTGCACCAGTGAGTGACCTGCTCTTACCTTACCCTCTGATCACCCCTTCCCTTTTCCTCCTCGGAATCAGCATTGCCAGTCCTGGAGCCTGGCTCAATCCCCACTTTCCCTCTCTTTCCTTCCTTTTCCTTCTTGTTGTGCTTCCATCAATGTGTCTGTGCCTCCCCACTGGTACCTTCTTGTTTTATTGTGCTCTTGGCCCCTGACACTGGCCATGTCCCACAGGTGACTTTCCAGCAGATATGTAAGGATGTGCATCTGGTGAAGCACCAGGGGCAGCAGCTTTTTATTGAGTCTCGGGCTTGGCCTCAGCCCCGGACCCGCCTCCCTGGTGAGTTGGTGAGGAGGTGTGGGTGGAGAGACAGACTTAGGGGGGGTCCCCTGACCTTTATCCCCAACCCATTTGCTGTTTTTTCCCATGTGGGCTTAAGAAGACCATTTTCCTCTTTCTCTCTCTGCCCCAGCTACAGGCACGTTCAAGGCCAAGGCCCTTCCCTGCCAATCCCCAGACCCAGAGCTAGAGACAGGTCCTGCTCCCATCCAGGCCCCACTAGCCTTGGCCCCTGAGGAGGCCGAGAGGAAAGAGACCTCGAGCTCCTCCTACCAGCAGATCAACTGCCTGGACAGCATCCTCAGGTAAGGCCTGCCAGGCATCTCCCCCAACTCGGGCCCTACCCCTGCCCACCCCAAGCCATGCCCTGATGCCCTCTGCTGCATCCATCACCAGGTACTTGGAGAGCTGCAACATCCCCAGCACCACCAAGCGTAAATGTGCCTCCTCCTCCTCCTACACCACCTCCTCAGCCTCTGATGACGACAAGCAGAGGACAGGCCCAGTCCCTGCGGGGACCAAGAAAGGTAAAGACCCAGTGCCCCCTGCTCCCACTGCTCTGTCCTGGCCTGGTGGCCCTGTGTTTGTTCCATTCTGCTTCTGGGGCTCTTGTTCTGCCCTGCCCTCCTCCCCAGTCTCCTGGTCTCCAGCCTCTTCCCTACCATCAACCCCTCTTCCCCCTTTTCCCTGGGCTCCTCTCTTCTGACCTGGTGGGGGTGGGGATGGTAACTGGCACCATCTCTCCACACAGATCCGCCGTCAGCAGTGCTGTCTGGGGAGGGGGCCACCCCACGGAAGGAGCCAGTGGTGGGAGGCACCCTGAGCCCGCTCACCCTGGCCAATAAGGCGGAGAGCGTGGTGTCCGTCACAAGTCAGTGTAGCTTCAGCTCTACCATCGTCCATGTGGGAGACAAGAAGCTCCCGGAGTCGGGTATGGGCGTGGAGTTGGGGGCAGTGTTTGGGCTCTACCCGTCTCCCAGCTAGAGCTCCCTCCTGCCTTTTCCCTACCCTCCAGCCCCTCCCTTGATCTGGAGCTTGGGGCTACGGCTTCTTGCTCTCCCCTCCCCGCCAGGCTTCTTGGCTTTGCCCTTCCCCTGATCTACTTCTTGTATTGTTACTGTCAGTTGAAACACAAAGTCTGGGGTAGGGGGTTTACCCTGAGGTGCTGACCACAGAGGGTCTGTGAAGGTGAGGAAAACTGAAGACCCCTGAGGGGTCTTTGGATATTGATCCTGAAAATGTTTGAGGGGCTGGGCATGGTGGCTCAGGCCTGTAATCTCAGCACTTTGAGAGACTGAGGTGGGAGGATCACCTGAGGTCAGGAGCTCAACATCAGCCTGGGCAACATGGTGAAAGGCTGGGCGTGGTGGAGAATCGCTTGAACCTAGGAGGTAGAGGTCCCAGTGAGGCGAAATTGCACCACTGCACTCCAGCCTGGAAGAAAGAGACTCCATTTGAAAAAAAAAAAAAAAAAGAAAATGTGTGAGGGAAGGCCAAGGGGTGGGTTTCCCTTCCATCGAGTGCTTTGAAGGGGTCATCCCAGTGGAGTTCCTGGCAGGGAGTGGCCAGTGGAGGGGACTGAATATGTATCGCTTTCCTTCTGGGACAGCTTTGCATGGAGAGGGAGGACCCTTTGGCAGAAAGGAGACCAAGAAATGTACATGGGGACCAGGCTTGGCTGTGGGGCAGGGCCAGGGGTTGGCTAGGCTATGGGACAGGGAGGGTGTGGTGTGGATGTGTTGACCCCGAGGTGATTCTGATGACCTTTCCCCGTCTCATCTTCCTCAGACATCATCATGATGGAGGACCTGCCTGGCCTAGCCCCAGGCCCAGCCCCCAGCCCAGCCCCCAGCCCCACAGTAGCCCCTGACCCAGCCCCAGATGCCTACCGTCCAGTGGGGCTGACCAAGGCCGTGCTGTCCCTGCACACACAGAAGGAAGAGCAAGCCTTCCTCAGCCGCTTCCGAGACCTGGGCAGGCTGCGTGGACTCGACAGCTCTTCCACAGCCCCCTCCGGCCCTGGTGAGCGAGGTAGCCACCTGAGGCCTCCCGGAGCCTGCCCTCTGCCCAGTTTAGGACCGGACTGTTGGGGGGTGGGTCTTAAGGGAGGTGTTTCTGCTCCAGGGACCCAGGCTGGTGCTGCTTCTGGCCCTGCCTAGGGACTGGCCCCTCGCTAGCTTCTCCTCACTAGGTTGGGGTTTAGGCTGCAGCCAGAGGAGGGCAGCCTGGGGGGATGGCACTGGGACAGCAGGCAGAGGTCCTGTGTTCCAGGTAAGCCACTTGAGGCCTGGGGGCAGAGACAGGAAGTCTGCCTGCTTTTGTCACTGATGAAGAGACTGGGCCAACTCTGGGTGGGGTCTGGGCTTCAAGGGCAGATGGAAGGCAGCCCTCCAGGTGCCTGAGGGAGACACCCTGCAGGCAGACGAGGGACTCAGGACTGGGCCTTCCAGCCCCACTCTTCACCCCATCGCACGCTAGGCAGAACACAGCCTCGACTGGCAGGAGGAACGCCTAAGCTGGCAGTGCCTGCAGGAGCTTGGTGGATGGACCAGAGCCACCTGTCCATGCGCCCATGGACCCGCCCTGCCTCCTCCATCTGCCAGCGCACCTCCATCTTCCGCACAGCCCCAGCTCGACCCCTCATGTAACCTCTCCCTGCCCTTGTTCCTTTCTCAATAAATCCCCTTGTCCCTGCCTCCTGTGATTTTTCCCTGAAGGTGCCCCACCTCCTGAGCCCTGCATTCTGTATGGGCTGAGCTGTGCTCTCTGGGGCCTTGGCCTCCCCTCTCCCTGGTCAGAGTGTCAGGGCAGTGTGGGTAGCAGGGACACTAACCCCAGGTTGAGGCCCTTGCTAACCCTAGTCTCTCCCCACAGGCTGCCACCACAGCTCTACACCCCACAGCCGCCGACACCACTGCCGATCCAAAGCCAAGCGCTCACGCCACCACCAGAACCCCCGGGCTGAAACCCCCTGCTATGTCTCACACCCCTCACCTGTGCCACCCTCCACCCCCTGGCCCCCCCCACCAGCCACTACCCCCTTCCCAGCGGTTGTCCAGCCGTACCCTCTCCCAGTGTTCTCCCCGAGAGGAGGCCCCCAGCCTCTTCCCCCCACTCCCACATCTGTGCCCCAGGCTGCTTTCCCTGCCCCTCTGGTGACCCCAATGGTGGCCTTGGTTCTTCCAAACTATTTGTTCCCAACCCCATCCAGCTATCCTTATGGGGCTCCCCAGACCCCTGCTGAAGGGCCCTCTACTCCTGCCTCGCACTCCCCTTCTCCATCCTTTCCCGCCCTCCCCCCCAGCCCTCCCCACCGCCCAGACTCTCCACTGTTCAACTCAAGATGCAGCTCTCCACTCCAGCTCAATCTGCTGCAGCTTGAGGAGCCCCCCCGTGCTGAGGGGGCTGCTGTTGCAGGGGGCCCTGGGAGCAGTGCCGGGCCCCTACCTCCCAGTGAGAAGGCTGCTGAGCCAGAGGCCAGACTGGTGAGCACTGACCCCTGCATCCACCCTCCAGCCACCACACCAGCCCCACCCTCTGCCACCCTGCACTGCCTCCTGCCTCTGCCAGGCTGGTGTCTCAGCCTCCAGGAGGTGGAGGGAGACCCCAGCTGAATTTCTGAATGAGGCAGAAATTGGCTACCTCCTCTTTGAAGGAACAGTCCTGTCTGTCTGACAGGTGGTGAGGACATCTCAATAACTTCTGAGAGAGCATCTGCCACTTGGAAAGGGTCTGGCCTCACATCCCTACCTTTGCCAGCTCGCTTCTCTCTCAGCCTGGCCCTACTATCACGAAGTGGGGAGCAGAGATCACTTGGGTTGGATGTGCCTCTCCCCATGACCAGTGAGAGCAGGTGAAGGGAGGCCTAGGTGCTGAGCCCTCCCTCCATCCCTCCCTGCCCATCTCCTCTCCAGGTGGAAGTCACAGAGTCCTCCAATCAGGATGCGCTTTCTGGCTCCAGTGACCTGCTGGAGCTGCTGCTGCAAGAGGACTCACGCTCTGGCACAGGCTCCGCAGCCTCGGGCTCCTTGGGCTCCGGCTTGGGCTCTGGGTCTGGTTCAGGCTCCCACGAGGGGTGCAGCACCTCAGCCAGCATCACTCGTGAGTGCCCCGCCTCCAGCACCTCCCAGGGTAGGGTCAGGGGTGACTGGGGAGCAGGGAGCCCAGGACCCATCTTGGCGGAGCTTCCTAAGGCTACTGGGTTGGACATGTGGCCTTTGAGGGAGGCCTTGTGAGGCCCCAGGAGTGGGCTCTTGGCCAGCTTGACTCCACTGGTCGGTCCCTCACTTCACAGGCAGCAGCCAGAGCAGCCACACAAGCAAATACTTTGGCAGCATCGACTCTTCTGAGGCGGAGGCCGGGGCTGCTCGGGCAGAGGCTGAGCCCGGGGACCAGGTGATTAAGTACGTGCTCCAGGATCCCATTTGGCTGCTCATGGCCAATGCTGATCAGCGCGTCATGATGACCTACCAGGTGCCCTCCAGGTGAGGCATTTCAGAGGCCTCCTTGGCCTCCCTGTCAGAGGTAGTAGGAGGCAGTTTTCTTTTGGGGGGCTGGCTCTGTCCTGGGTAGGATAGAAGGTTCCTATTCTTCTCCCTGCCTCCTGAAGCCCTGTTACTAGTTCCTCCCAGGAAGAGAGCAGGCTTCTTGGTCTTGGAAGCCTTGAACTCCCATAGCCCGGGTTTAGGGGAGGAGCATGAAGTGAGGAGTTGCGTGGAGGAAGGATACCAGTTTCATGGGCCATGGTCTGGGTGCTGGATCCCAGCTTCTGCCTTCTGAACCCTTCTCGGCCAGGGATATGACCTCTGTACTGAAGCAGGATCGGGAGCGGCTCCGAGCCATGCAGAAGCAGCAGCCTCGGTTTTCAGAGGACCAGCGGCGGGAACTGGGCGCTGTGCACTCCTGGGTCCGGAAGGGCCAGCTGCCTCGGGCTCTTGATGTGATGGTGAGAGGAGAAGCCTGGGACAGAGGAGAAGAAAGAGTTGAGCTCAAGTTCAAGGGATCCAGGCTAAGAGCTGATCTCAGTGGCCTTGGATCATTACTTCTGAAGAATGTTGATTCCACATTTGCTGTGTATTATAGAATATTAAGCCACATGAGTCTTAGCAGAACTTCCCTGAGCCTATCCTATATTAACATGCATTGTGACTGTCCTGTAATGGCATCTGGGTAGAGAGCACAAGGCACTTCCCAACCTTGTTGGCCTGCAGGTGCATCTATGTGGACTGCTGCTGCTTGAGAGTACATTTCAGGAAGCGCAGTTGGGCTGTGGGTGGGAAGCTAGGCAGGCAGGTTAGTGTGAGGACCCTGTCTGACTCCCTTGTATCCGTTTCTCTCACGAAGGCCTGTGTGGACTGTGGGAGCAGCACCCAAGACCCTGGTCACCCTGATGACCCACTCTTCTCCGAGCTGGATGGACTGGGGCTGGAGCCCATGGAGGAGGGTGGAGGCGAGCAAGGCAGCAGCGGTGGCGGCAGTGGTGAGGGTGAGGGCTGCGAGGAGGCCCGGGCCCAAGTTGGGGCCAAGGCCTCTAGCTCTCAGGACTTGGCCATGGAGGAGGAGGAGGAAGGCAGGAGCTCAGCCAGTCCAGCCTTACCTACAGCAGGAAACGGCGCCAGCTAGACTCCCATTTTGGGACCATCTCCAGGAGCCCATGAGCAGCTTCCTTCTGTGTCCCAATTCTCAGAACTCAGATGTGGCTGGACCAACCAGTGGGAAACTGCCCCAGCTTCTCCCACCATAGGGGGCTGGACCCCCATCATCAGCCCAGGATCCAGGGGCTGCCTCTGGCCTCTTAGGGAGCAGAGAGTAGAACTCTGCAGCCCAACCCAGAGGAGGGTCACCTTCCACCTTTGGAGGGGAGCCCTTCCCTCTCCTGGACAGAGTTGCTGACAAGCTGCTGAAGTGGCTTCTCCATATCCCAGCTGAGCCTGAGTCCGATTCCTGAGGATTGGGGCTGCACTTATTTATTGGGGGAGACAGCTCTCTCCCACCTCCTCCCCAGATGGGAGGAGAGCCTGAGGCCCAAGCAGGACCCAGGGGTTCCAGCCCCTAGCTGCTCTGGGGTGGGGGAGGTTGGTGGACCATGGAGTCCCTGGTGCTGCCCCTCAGGTGGGACCCAGGTGTTCTCAGCTGTACCCTCTGCCGATGGCATTTGTGTTTTTGATATTTGTGTCTGTTATTACTTTTTTAATACAAAAAGATAAAAAAGCCCAGGACTTTGTGGAATGAAGTATGGGGGTGGGGTGAGGGGAGCACATTCCGGGAAGTTTGTAGTGAGGGTCACAGTTCCATCCCCTGACCAGCCCCATTCCTCTCTCCCCCGATCCTGTCCAGGTGAGGGCCTTGCTGAGCCCGCTGAGTCTACACCCAGCTCAGTCTCCGCTGTCCTCTCTAGCATGGCCTCAGCTGGATTTCCCTGGGAAGGAGAGATGAAAGGCATGTGTGGCCAAAGGCTTGGGTGGGCTCCAGCCTGAGTCACAGGTGGCGGAGGCAGAGGAAGCCCACTTAACCCCGTGGTGCCCTGAGGTAGTTGAGGATGTTTGTCTTCCTTGGCTTCTTGGTCGCCACACAGAGGGCCCTTCAGCAGGTCAGGCTAGGTAGCTCAGGGACACATGGAGTCATGTGCTCACTCATGGTTGAGTTGGCCCCAAAGGTGTGGAAGAATGAAGAAAGTATTGAACCCTCTGGCTCAGAACCTGAAAGGGAAGAGGCAACTCAGGAAGGGATGAACTGAGGAGCCACTGCAGTCACTGTTCAGTGATTTGCACTTACTGTCACTCATTAACAGTTGATTTATCATAAGGCATACCTCCTTGGTGCTTGTGCTGTGGCTTAGCTGGGTAAAGCGTCTGTCTAGTAAACATGAGATTCTGGGTTTGAATCCCAGTAGTGCCTGAGTTAGTGGAGAGTGGCATATTATTGCTGCAAGTGTACTTCACTTTCAAAGGCCCTTTCTGTCTGGTTTTTTCGAAGAAAGATTTATTTCTTCTAGACTCTTTCCAAGATTCTTCTTACAAGCCAATCCATCTTTGGGTCTCCTTTCCCGTGCACTTTTAGTGTAGAAGCTAGAGGTTGTCACTTCGCTTTCATTAAGTAAAATGAAGTGTACATCTCAGGGTCTGCCCTCAAGGGTATGGAAGCCAGGGCTCGAATTTGGACTCCTTTTGTTCCCATCCTATGCTTGGGGAGGAGAAGGAGAATAGGAAAGGTGCCCCTCTAACGGGCCGCAGACGGTACCGGAGGGAAGGCATGCTCTGCGCCACCGAGCCGAGGCGCAGGCGTGCAGGCGTCCCAAGGCGGCGTGAGGGTGGGGCTGGCAGGAGGCGGGCGTGTTGATAGGCAGCTATAGTTGCGCAGGCCAGAGACCGCACGCGGCTGTGATGGCCGAGTGGTTAAGGCGTTGGACTCGAAATCCAATGGGGTCTCCCCGCGCAGGTTCGAATCCTGCTCACAGCGTTAGTAGTTTTGGCAACAGGGTATCTCGGTCTCTGGAGAAGGAAAAAGCAGCTTGTTTTCTGGTCCTTTCCATAGAGAATCTCTTAGTTCTTCTGGAAATCTGAGACTAGGCCATCAGGGAACAGGCCGCGAGCGCCCTCTTGTGAGCCTCATACTACTATTAACCTGCAAAAGCCTTCTTATTGCCAATTTCAATTCCTAACGCCCCCACACTCAGGTGGCTCCTTGTTGCTACTCGGCAATCGCTACTTTCCCCCAGTTCCTTTACTCTCCTACTCCCCTATGCAATTGTTTCATTCCTACTCTCGCCTCAAACGACGAATCCCTTCTTCATCATCCCTCAGCTTCTGCTTCCTGATTCACTGAGAAAATAAAGCATTCCGGAGTTTCCCATCAACATTCACATCGAACCTACCTACCTACCTACTGTCTACCTAATTGAGTCTGTGACCATATACTCTTCTTTTCCCTCATGACTGTAGATGACTGCTTCCCCACTTAAAGCCAAGCCCTACTTTTACGAGATTTCCCATCTCCTTTGGTCCACTCAAGGACACTGCTGTTTTTCCTATACCATCAAATTTTCCCTCTTAGCAGCTCACACCTGTAATTTCAGCATTTTAGGCGGCTTGGCAGGTGGATCACTTGAGGTCAGGAGTTCGAGACCAGTGAAACCCCGTCTCTACTAAAAAAATATATATATATATATATATACACATATACACATACACATATGTATATATATATACACATACATATACACACATATTTTTTAGTAGTGACGGGGTTTATATATATATATGTGTGTATATATATATACATATATATACATATATATGAAATTAGCGGGGCATGGTGGCTGGCGCATGCCTGTAATCCCAGCCACTTGCGAGGCTAAGGCAGGAGAATCACTTGAATCTGGGAGACGGAGGTTGCAGTAAGCCGAGATTACACCATTGCACTCCAGCCTGGGCAACAAGAGCAAAACTTAATCTCAAAAAAAAAAAAATCCCTTTCTACTTGATTTTTCTCATCAGCCTGCAAACTCTAATTTCACCCAATTTAGAAGCAAGACAACAAAAGCTATTTTGACCCCACATGCCCGTCCAGCTACCACTCAATTTCTCTGCTCCCTTCTACAGCAAGCAAAGCAAGTTATCCAATTCCATCTTTCCATTCTCATTTGGACCCTTTCCAATCAGGCATCCCCCACCCCCATCAAAACTGCCCTCGTTAAGGTTGCCAAATGATCACCACATTGCTAATTCTATTGACCACTACTTAGCTGCACTTGATACTGATGCTCACTCTTCCCTTAGAAGCACTCCCTTTGTGGTGTGTGTGTGTGTGTGTGTGTGTGTGTGTAGAAAAAAACACTCTCTTGGCTTGCCTTTTAGGACACTGCGCCCTTCTCATATTCCTTCTACTTCATCAGCAGCTCTTTCTCAGCGTCCTTTGCTGGTTTCTCACCTCTGGGTCTCTAAATGTTGGGCTGTTTCCCAAGGCTCAATTTTCCAACCTCTTCTCTATCTGTACCCACTACCTTGATCATTTTCAGTTTCATGCCTTTAAATATCAGGTAATACATTAATAAAGCCCAGATTTTCATCACCAGCTCCAGAACTCTTCCCTGAATTACAGATGCTTATATATTATTGCCCACATATCGTCTACACTTGGAAACCTAATACAGACCACAAACTTAAAATGTGCAAACGAAACTCCTAGGCTTCTCCCCCAAACCTCCTTCACCTGTGGCCCTTTCATCTCAGTAAATGGAAATTCCATTCCTTCAGTTGGTTAGACTAAAAACCTTAGGATCATCCCTGATTGTTCTCTTTCTCTCCCACTCTACATCAAATGAACAATTTCTATTTAAAATATGTTAGGGCCAGGTGTGGTTACTCACACTTTTAATCCAGCACTTTGGATGGCCAAGGCAGGAGGATCTCTTGAGTCCAGGAGTTCGGGACCAGCCTGAGCAACATTACAAGACCCCAGTCTTGGTGAAAATTAAAAAAAAAAAAAAATTAGCTGAGCATGCTTGCAGTCCTAGCTACTTGGGAGGCTGAGGAGGGAGTATCACTTGAACCCAGGAGGTTGAGGTTGCAGTGAGCAGTGATCACACTACTGCACTCTATCCTGGGTGATAGAGTGAGATGCTGTCTTGAAAAAAAAGAAGGAAAAAAGTCCAGCATTAGACTATTTGCTATGATCGTCACCATTACACCATGGTCCAAGCCGCCCTCATCTCTCATCTAGATTATTGCAATATCCCTTAAGTTGTTTCCTGGCTTCCATTCTTGTTCCTAGTTCCATTATAGTCTACTCCTTTTTTTTTTTTTTTTTTTTCTTGCTCCCAGGCTAGAGTGCAGTGGCATGATCTCGGCTCACTGCAGCCTCCGCCTCCCGGGTTCCAGCGATTCTCTTGCTTCACCTCTGCCTCCCGAATAGCTGGGATTATAGACATGCGTCACCATGCCTGGCTAACTTTTGTATTTTTCGTAGAGAAGGGGTTTCACCATGCTGGCCAGGCTGGTCTCGAAATCCTGCCTTCAGGTGATCTGTCCATCTTGGCCTCCTGAAGTTCTGGGATTATAGGCATGAGCCACCGTGCCTGGCCCATGCTTAATTTTTTTCTATGGCACCATCTAACAAATGATATGTTTTGTGTAATGTACATTGACTGTTTCCCCTAAAAGAATGTATGACTCATAAGGCCAGAGATCATTGTCTGTTTCATTTGGGCAGAGATCATAGTCCTTTTCTTTTGGGGCTATATCCCCAGGGCCTAGGACAGACCGAGGCCCACAGTATGTACCCTGTAAATATGTGCTGAAGGATGAAGGAGGTTCAGGGATCCAGGCCTTTTGTGTCTGGGAGGCTTTACAGTTCCTTAAGTGGTTTCACTGCCCCATTTTCTCTGCCTGGGTCTGCGCTGCCCCTTCTTTTTTCTTTGGTTTTACCACCCAAGGCAAGCTGAGTGGGGCAGGACCCGAAGTTTGCCTTGTGGGCCTGGAGAGCATCTATTCTGGTCTTTCCTAGGCCCAGGGTCCTGGTCCTCCTACTTCCCAACCCCCAATCCCCCAGGACCCACCCCTCCAGGAACTCTCCCTATCCAGGGCCCAGGGGGTCCCAGGAAGCCAGCCTTCCTTTGGAAGAACTGAAGAGGGAGGAGCTGAGCCTTGGAAGCCAGGACTGGGGAGACTTCACAAAGTGGGAAGGGAGGCTGGGTCACTCTACCGGCTGTACTCCATTCCTTCCCCACACCCTGAGTTCCTTAAGCCCAGCGCCTGTGGGACTCGAGCTCCCTCCCCTCCCCGAAGCCCCAGTGTGGCCCACTGTTGAAAGAACAGCCAGGAAGAAGCTGGAGGCTCAGATCCCCACACACAGGCCATTAGGCCATGGTGTGCACGGACACAGCCACAAATGTACACAGACAAAGGCCCACGCTGACACAGAGGTGTGCAAACACACGGAGACCCCCACAGACACTCTTTGGCATGGACACGCTGGGAATGGGGTAGGGGACATCATAGGCCACATCTGCACTGGAGCAGGAAGCTCCAGAAAATGATCCAGCCCTAGGTTTGGGGGTCTGAAGCTTAAATAATCTAGAAGGGGGAGGTGGGGAGGGAAACAACTGTTTAAGTGTTTAAGGAGAAATATGGCCAGGTGTTGTGGCACAGGCCTATAATCCCAGCGCTCTGAGAAGCCAAGGCCAGAGGATTGCTTGAGGCCAGGAGTTTGAGACCAG